AGCTCTCTGCCTCTAGCCTACTTAAAAACGTGATATATATATATATAGCCTATATATATATATATATATATTTTAATAGATAAAATAGACATAACATACTGTGTTTGATATGGGATTAAAATGATGGGTAGTGTATGGGCAGTGTATAAGATATAAACTAATGATTAATTATTGTAATATTCCTTTGTTCCGATCAGAGCATGTGAGCGGAGAGCGCATTTATGAATATTCCGCCCCGCTCGCTCATTCAGCTCAGGGTCGCGCGCTCAACACAGAATGGCTTGCTGGTTCGAGAATATGTGGAATAAGAGCTGCCTCCGACTAAAGTTTGTATTCTAGTCGACTAGTAGTTCTTCATTTAAGCCATAAGTGGACAAATCGGCCCTTTATATTAATTTAATTACTTAAATAGGCTATACGGGATATTGAGCGTTATAGCCGCACTCAAGCGCACGACCGCACGCATAAAGCTTGCCACAAAGAACCAGCAAAAGTAGTGATTATGAATGTGTAAAAAAATAGCAAGGAGACATTTAATTGTTTATTAATAAACTGGTGTTTTCGGTGTCACTGCATAGATTAATTTGACGATGCGGACTCGCCATGAACGAATAGCTTGACGAATAGAGCCATTTTTAGCTAGTCATCGTCGCGTTATCGTCATAAAAAATAAGTGCGTCAACGAAATCATTTCGTTATCGTCATCGTTGACGAAAACAACATTGTTGGGGAGTTAGGACTGCTTAAAGGAGACCCCATAAAAATAGTCCTAAAAGAAAACGCTAAGCCATACAGCGTCGCAGCCCCTCGCCACATACCCATTCCGCTGCTACCTAAAGTAGAAGAGGAGCTGAAGCGAATGGAAGAAAATGGCATAATAGAGCGCGTGACGGAGCCCACAGAATGGGTAGCGCCTATGGTGCCTGTGATTAAGCCGACTGGAAAGGTAAGAATCTGTGTAGGTCGAGAACGTGAAAAGGGAAAAGTTCATCTTGCCGACCACAGACAGCATCTTGCACAAACTGGCCGGAAGTAAGGTGTACACAACTCTGCATGCTGCCAGTGGATTTTGGCAGATGGCCCTAGATGAAGAAAGTTCAAAGTTAACTACCTTCACAACACCAAATGGTCGCTACTGCTTTAAACGGCTCCCATTTGGAATAACATCGGCACCAGAGATATTCCAAAGGAGAATGCAAGAACTGCTGCAGGATCACGAGGGCACGGTAGTTTACATGGACGACATACTAGTGTTCGGAGCCACTCTGGAAGAGCACGGCCGCCGCCTGAAAAGGGTGATGGAGACAATCCGCGCATCTGGCCTAAAACTCAACCGCCAGAAGTGTAAGTTCAGACAGGCTTCCCTTCACTTCCTGGGCCAGGTTATCAGTCAGGAGGGTGTGACTCCAAGCCCAGAAAGAGTGTCTGCCATCACCGCCTTAGAGACACCTACAAATGTGAGTGAGTTAAAAAGGGTACTTGGTATGGTGAATTATGTTGGCAGATACATACCCAACTTGTCACAAATCCTTCATCCGCCCAACGAGCTGTTGAAGAATACAGTAGCATGGGTGTGGGACTCGCAGCAAGAAGCAGCCTTCAAGAAGGTAAAGACACTGATATCCTCTGCACCTGTTCTTCAGTACTTTGATTCAGTACTTTGCCCACTGTAGTAGGCGCTGACGCGTCCAGTTATGGATTAGGAGGAGTACTGCTGCAAAATCATGGAGGCACACTCAAACCAGTAGCCTACTGCTCTCGTACACCAAATGAAGCGGGAAAAAAGTACGCACAGATAGAAAAGGAGTGTCTTGCTAGTGTATGGGCTTCAGAAAAGTTCTATCTATATCTGTGTGGTCTGGAAAGCTACAAATTACTTACCGACCATAAACCACTGGTGACACTCATCAACCACAGAGACCTAGACAAAACTCCACTGAGGTGTCAACGACTTCTGATCCGCCTAATGAAGTTCAATCCTGTGGCTGAGTACATCCCAGGTAAGAACCTGATAGTACCTGACGTGCTGTCGAGGCACCCGGAGTCAAAAGTGGACGACACAAAACTGAGCGAGGACATCCAGGCATACGTGGACGCCATCGAAGAGCTGGAAAGGCCTAAAACAGTGCTGGAGCGCATAAAGGCAAAGACAGAGAAGGATGAAACCCTGCAGAAAGTCAGACTATACATTAAGTCTGACTGGCCGCGATATAAAAGGGATGTCGTCAGACCAGCTTTATACTATTTTATGGAGAGAAGCAGTCTTAGTGAGCATAATGGACTGGTAAAGAAGGGAAACCAAATAGTGATCCCACAAACAATGAGAACTGAGATGCTGGAGAGGATCCACCACCAGCATCAAGGCTTAAACAAATCCAGGGAGAGATACAAAGATGCCATCTGGTGGCCAAAGATTAGCCATGCGGTAAAGGAGAAAGTCTCCTCATGCCCACACTGTAATGAGCACAAACCAAGCCAAAGCCGGAACCCACTCATCACAACGCCTTTGCCGGAGCTCCCTTGGCAAAAACTAGCTGCAGATCTTTGTGAGTTTAAAGGAAAGCACTTCCTGGTTGTTATTGACTATTATTCAAGATGGCTTGAAGTATTGAGTCTCACCCAGACCACAAGTGAAGCAGTTATAAGTAAGCTGATGAGCACATTCACACGGTTCGGGATACCTGAAGAGCTGATTACGGATTACGGCCCGCAGTTTACCTCACAGCGGTTCCAGGTCTTTACATCCAAGTATGACATCCAGCATACTAAATCGAGCCCATACTATCCTCAAGCTAATGGGATGGCGGAGCGAGCTGTCAGGACCGCTAAAAGCATCCTTAGGCAACAAGACCCCCAGCTAGCTCTCCTGATCTACAGGGACACAGCCACGGAGCCGACAAAAGAAAGCCCAGCCAGACTCCTTATGGGAAGGAGACTGCGAACCACAGTCCCCAAGCTCCACCATCAGTTGAGACCAGCGTGGCCCAATCTGTCGACAGTCAGGCAGACAGATCCCAAAGCTAAGCAGGCCAACGAATATACCTAGAACAGGAGATGCACTGCAAAGCCGCTTCCTGCCTTAGGTGTCGGCAACAGAGTGCGACTGAAAACAGACTCAGAGAAGACATGGAGAGGGACCGGGGTGATACAGGCTTTGTGTTCCACTCCAAGTTCGTTTGTGGTGCAAACGCCACAAGGAGACACCACCAGACGAAACAGGAGGCATCTGCAGATCGTCAACCAAGAAAGGAACGACACTCCGACACAGTCACCAGAAGTCTCCACCCCACCGGGTAACATGGCATCCGCCACCCGTCCAACCCAAACTGATTCTGAGACTGGTAGCATAACATCGTCACCCAGAGTTTTGAGAACACGCTCTGGACGTGCTGTGAAACCTGCTGTCAAGCTGACATACTAGTCAGAAGAAAAGAGTTAACTAGTAATGTTTACAAATGATTACAGACCAGTTAGGTTAAAGGAAAAAGAGAAAAGTCTGAGCGGAATGTTTTTTGTTTATATTTGCTTGTTCATTTGTATTACTGTTAATGTCTACTTAAACAGTAAGTTTGAAAAGAAAAATATTGATAAATAGAATAAGAGAAATAATGCTTATTTGATACATGGGTTTCTTAAAAGGAAGAATACGGAAAATATTGTGTTGTCATACAAAAAGTAATTTCAGAGTATGTTTCTTAGAAACAGTTGTTTTGTTTAATACTGTATGAGACCCCAGACTAAAAGGGGGAGATGTCACGTAAACCTGTTACGGTATGTGATTGGGCATACGTATCTACGTATACGTACGTATGGACTGAAAGTAAACAATGTAGATTCACGTGTGTTAGGTTACGACATGTTGGAATAAAGTCGAGCTAAAGACAATCTTCTGTCTCCTCACATATATATATTATACGAAGATAGCGATACTTCACAGTATTTAAGTGTCCATACAGATACATTGGCAAAGTATCCCCTTTATGGGTAATTTTAATCTGTGTATGCGATCCCTGATCATATTCATGGTCAGTTACTAAAATTATATTATATTTGAGCTAGAATCGCTACTCAATGTAACAGTTTGACTCTTTGTTTCCCCCTTTTCTTAGTATTTTGGTTTAGTCCTGTTTAGTTTTCCCGCTCCTCATTATCCCTCAGTTAATTCACCTGTGTCTAGTTAATTATCTTCATCTGTGTCACCTGTGCCCCAATTAAGTTCCTTTGTCTCCCTGTGTTATTTAAGCCCTCTGTTTCTCCCTATTCCTTGTCCATTCTCGTTAATGTATAGTGTGTGTGTTGTGGGTACTGTCCACGTCACGTCTGCCCAGCCAGAGACTGTCCACGTCACGTCTGCCCAGCCAGAGACTGTCCACGTCACATCTGCCCAGCCAGAGACTATGCATGTCACGTCTGCTCAGCCAGAGACTGTTCACGTCCCGTCTGCCCAGCCTGTCGTAGTCCCAGAGCCTGTCCCTAATCCGGTTACTCACCCCAAGTATTTTTTTTGGGGGGGGGGGGCATATGTCTCCGCCATGGCCACCCGAAGGGGTCTCTCCACCATGGCCACCCGAAGGGGTCTCTCCGCCATGGCCACCCGAAGGGGTCTCTCCGCTCTGGCCACCTGCACGTCCTGCTCCGCCCTGGCCACCTGCACGTCCTGCTCCGCCCTGGCCACCGGCACGTCCTGCTCCAGAACACGCCCTCTTCAGCCTCCAGGGCGCCCACCCCCCCACCCACCCCATTGATGTTATACGGCGCGAGGACGCGCCTTTTTGGGAGGGGGCGTTCTGTAACAGTTTGACTCTTTTGTTTCCCCCTTTTCTTAGTATTTTGGTTTAGTCCTGTTCAGTTTTCCTGCTCCTCATTATCCCTCAGTTAATTCACCTGTGTCTAGTTAATTATCTTCATCTGTGTCACCTGTGCCCCAATTATGTTCCTTTGTCTCCCTGTGTTATTTAAGCCCTCTGTTTCTCCCTATTCCTTGTCCGTTCTCGTTAATGTATACACTGTAAATGATTTCTGTTGTTTTCACAGGATTATACTGTTTTTCTCAACAGTTTCTTACTGTATAACCTATGTACAGTAAGTTACAGTAGATTTAGATGTTGCACAGTATTATGTTGTATTTTCAACAGTTATATACTGTGCACACAGTTGACAGTATGTTACTGTTGATTTTCAATGCATTCTGGGAAATTATCAGTTACTGTAAATCTAAATACAGCAGTGCAAATTGACCGCGAAAAAAACCACACACAATTCCGCAGGAAAAATTGGTATAGCAACGTTATTTTTAGGCTACATAAAACATTTTCAGGATGGGGTGACCATGTCAGTATTAATTTCTGTCAGTGGGGGGTGCATGAGAGCGCATTTGAGTTTGAACGAGTTTTTCTGTGACTGTCATGTCAGTGCATCGATCGTGTCTGTTTCTGCCGACCTGTGGAACTTCGTCATCTGGTAAGTAATAAATCTTATTATTTGTATGCAGATGGATTCTAGCTAATTATTAACTTTACAGTTATTAGCTGACCACGTATACGGTCAGAATGATCTAAACATTTTGTTATTTACCATTTTAAGTCGGTGGAAGCGCCTGTGGGTAACGTACATTTTCATGGTTGGGAATTGAAAATCGATAAATGTATCCTGAAATCGGATACCCAAGGTTAGGATTCGGATTATTGTTATACAAATTAACATTTCGATTCCTCTTATCGATTTATTCGTGCTTATTTTCGTGTAAATCACTATTTCCTTTTACTAGTCGTCTGTGAGGACCTGACGATCAGCCAGTAAAGTTAGCTACCTTGTGCAGTTGCGCGCTCATATTTACCCCAGTCTATCTGATGGAAGCGCTCAAAAGTGTGCATTTTTGTCCAAAGACAAAGCTAGGTATGTCATTTACAGTATTGTCAGCTATAATATCGTAATTGTTGTTTTAACTATGTGCAAACTGACTTGTTACTCATTTGAAGAAGAAAAAAACGACGCCTCGAGAGTCAGGCTTGATAGTTCACTTCAAAATGAAAACTCGTCCTCAAGTTGTTTCAAACCTGTATACATTTCTTTCTTCTGCTGAACACAAAGGGAGATATTTTCATAACCAAACAGTTAACTGGATCCATTGACTTCCATAGTAGGATAAAGAAAATACTATGGAAGTCAATGGGCCCAGTTAACTGTTTGGTTACTGACATTCTTAAAAATATCTTCCTTTGTGTTCAGCAGAAGAAAGAAATGTATACAGGTTTGAAACAACTTGAGGGTGAGTATATGATGACAGAATTTTCATTTTGAAGTGAACTATCCATTTAAACTGCGCGATGAAGCCTATTAGAATGCAGTTAGAATAACTTAATTAAATAAATGGTCTGTAAGAGTTGTTGTTTTTAATTCATTTGGAAAATATTTATTTATTTATTTACAGGTTTCTTGTCAGGATAAATCCTGAAAATTCAAAATGCACATCACAGTTCCAGGTGAGCAGAAAGAGTGGGAAGGTTGTTCGGAGGAAGAACATGTCTTTGAATCCACACATCTTTCATCAGGGACTTTGCAGAATATGACTGGCAAAATCATTAAGGTAAGAGATATTAGGGATGTGCAGCGGGGCCCATATCGGTAGAAATTATTTGTGTCTAAATCTGTATTTAGAAAAATCCAAAAAGGGCGGAAATGATTTAAACCATAATTTTTTCAAATTAAAAAAATAAATAGGTATATGTAATTGTTCCCTTCACAGTTTCCATTTAACACATATGCCTTGTATAAGTCAAAGAATTCAAATAATTTTTTTATTATAATTGTAACATCTCTTTAAATAAGTTTTAATTAAAACATGAAATGGTAAAAAATATCTGATTTCTGAAAGACACAGAAACGGCAATGCGGCTATTTGATATGCAGTTGTGAATTTCATTCATGGAGTTTACACTCATTTGTGTTCCATAGGGTTGGGTGATAAGGTCAAAAATTATCTTGATAAAATGTATCAGTCAGTATTGATAATTATCACAATCAATGTCAAATATTTATTTCTTTTAAGGTTTAAATGTTCTCAAACTTGCATTAAATAATGAAGACAACAGGTTAAGTAAAAATATAATGAAATGTAATAGGGGTGGTCATTTTTTTTGAATCCATGATTCGATTCAAATAGATTCTTGGGGTCACGATTTGATTAAAAAATCAATTCTCTTTTGAATCAAATTTAAATTTGATATATGCATAGATTTACATTTGATCATAGATTTTAAATATATTCTATGCATATATCAAATTTAAATTTGATTCAAAATCGAACAGCATAGAAATAAACAGCAGCTACTGTTATTCCCAATCGAGTGGGAGTTATTTACCGTAGTTTAAATTATACACACCTCATATCTATTTAAATTAATCTAGCCCGCTGCCGCTCAGCGTTCATACACGCATCTTTTTCATCATTTAAATTAGTGAGCATCAAGTCGACAGACATATCTATGAAAGGAACAGACTATCATCAGGATCTGGGTTGCGTTTACCAAAAGCATCGTAAGCCTAAATTGATTGTAGACCATTGGTGGTAATTGTTCTATAATTAATTTAAGGTTACAATGCTTTGGGGAAACGCAGCCCTCATCAGTGGCCGATTGTTTGGAGTCAGATATAGAATAAGGGCCATTGCATTCTCAATATTTATTACTTTAGCCTCTGATACAGGACATGTTCATGCTCTTTTATACTGTAGGCGGTATTTGTTCGTTACCACAAAAAACCGTTTGCGTGTCCATGTTGAACGTGTTTCTTGTATGTAAAAACCAAAGTAGCCTACCTGTACATAGAAAGATCGTAAGAAAAGCCTGAAGTGTGCTCGACTAACTAAACTAAACAATATTTAAGACTATTTTCTATTTGTTAAGATATTGATATGAACTTCTGTAGTCAAGTATAAGCTTCATTCATAATGCTTCCTCTGTTTCAAGCTTGTGCACTCTAAACTGTCCTTCTTTGAAACAACATCATCACATTATTAAACATGTAGATCGATTTTTGAAATGTGTGAATCGGTTTGAATCCGCAGAAGATAAAATCGTAATTCATATGTGAATCGATTTTTTCCCCCACCCCTAATATAGTCGATATATGTATATCCATGGATGCCACACAACATGCAAGCAGTATATCCACCTTATTTTTCAACTTCAAAAGTGAAGTAAGCTATTTTCTGTGAATGTGCGAGACTTCCGGTTCATTAGCCGCTATAAGGAAATAAGAGATGAATAACAAATGCTGTAAATGATAAAAATATTTGTGCCTCAAACTAGTGTTTACAATTATGACAAATTCAATACATTAAAATAATAGGGTAAGGAATACCAGTTTGCAATATCAAGAAGCATAACAAGCTTTTTTGTACAGCTAGAAATAACTGTAAGCGTATGAAACCGGCCCACTCTTCTGTGAAAAATAAGGTGGATAAAAAAAAATCCCCTTAAAAGGTGTTGATAATGTGATTTAGTTTTTTTTTTTTATTAGTTGTATGTTTAGCCTCTGATTGATTTGTGCTTATCATTTCTTGCAGGATTATCAGAAGTGCTGTCGCTGTTCTTCTTCTTTTTCCTCACCTGGCCTTCATCCTCACCTGTTCTGCTTTCAAGTTTCTATTTGACCTCTTCAGGATAATTTTTGCATGAATTGAAATACATGAATTGTTCACTGATTTGAATTATTAATGATTAATTGTTAATTAGTCTTTTTTTTAAACAGATTTTTATTGTTGTATTATATTACATTATTATTACGGTACTAATGTATTGTTTGAAAATACACAATAAACCTGGTTGTGCAGTTAAAACTTCAATTGTTCTTTTTTCTATTTCCCATTAAAAGTTTAAAATAATATTTCTACGGATTTTCTACATATTCTACAGGTTACACAGTAGCACTATAAAAGAAAAAAGAAACATTTCATACGAAAATAGCTCCCATACCTCCAGCCTGTGGTTGGCTGTTACTGCGAGTCGGCTGGTTAAACTGTATAATACTATATACAGTATTATTAAAAATTAATGGTGTAATACTGTAGTTCAACATGATAAAAAAAATTACAGTAAAATAATGTATTTAATTTTACAGTATGCTTAACACTACTGTAGTTAGTTTTACAGTAATTTTACTGTTGAATGAAATACAGCAACTACTGGATAATTGTTGCCAGTAAGTTACTGTTAATTTGACAAGAAATTTTTTACAGTGTAGTGTGTGTGTTGTGGTTCCTGAGTTTTGTTTATTAAATCCTGTTTCCCTGATCATCCTCGTCTTCTCATCCTTCCTACCACCACGTAACGTAACACACACAATATACCTCCTGTCGGCCATCTACACCTCTTTGTATTTTGAGACAACAGCACAGAATAAAGCTGCGCACACCAGCCATGTTTCTTCCGCTGCCTAGTAGTAGGCCATGGTGTAGGCATAACAATGCAACTTCACTGACATAGAAACCAATGCAGATATTCCAGAAAATGAAAGAGAACCATTGGTCACACAAATCAGATCTGAGCAGTTACAATACACAGTGTGGACAGTCAATCAATTAGATCAGATTAGACCCAGGTAGTTCAACTGCCATTGACATTTTTAGGGAAGAGAATGTATAGGTCTCTCAAGAAGTAATATGCTTGTTAAGTCTGACGTCATATGTCGCCACTTCCGGATCCAAACGTTCTAACAGATGCCAAAAGCAAACAACAAACGGTGCTAATATACACTCAGGATGTGATGTAATACTACCGAAAAATAACAATCTTAACATGTATCTTCATACCAAAATCTGAGATGGCACAGGGATTCATTGTTAAAATATTGGTGTCCAGAATGCTGTGAGTATGGAGATTGTACATCGTATTTTTTTTTTTAAACGTAGCTTAAATGTGCAATATGAATAAACAGGGCTCATAAACGACCATTGAGATATAGTATTCACAAATGAAATGAGTGAAGGCTTGGACACGGAAACATCACGACTTAACAAGTGGATAAACCTCCTTGGCACAAGCAAACAGTGTAAGGTTATTTGACATTTGCATATTAAATTGGGATAGAGCTTCACTTTTAAATTAAAAGGGACATATCTGTCTTATTCACAGCAGTGATCTGGGTCTCATGTTGCTCACCGTTGAGACTGCCAATTGATGCTCTTAGTGAGCTCAGACTGCTGCTCTCTGTGGACGACACAGCATAGAGAACATTAATGAGGTCATATGAAGAGTCACTGTTTTTTTAGTAATAAATAAAGACAGTGCTCAAATCAAATTGGTTAAATTGGCTCCAGATGTTAATCATTTGCTTTGTTTTTAAACCAGGACATCTCTAGTGATAAATCCCTGAAGGGTCGCTAGTAATATTATTGATTTCTGTGGGTAATCTATAGAATTCTCCTGTGCATTCTATCAAATGCCCATGCTCTCTAATCATGGAGAACATCTCAGTCTCACTTTAACTGATGATGCTGGCTTATGCAAGGCCATGAACTTTGACCGTAAGCAAATTGGAAATGGGTTTACAGAGAATCAAAGGTAAACGCCTGCTCCACTAACCTTTGAAAAAAAAAGTGCAAACATTGATCACCATAGAACCTCAATTCCCACATGGCGTGTGAGCACCTCTAATGGAGCTCCTTCACTGATCCACACATCTGGCAGAACAGCTTAACATTATCTGATCAACGTGGAAGAAACAAAATTCATGTGAAATAAGGGCACAAAGAAGCAACTATGCTGCACATTTTCTTATTTTAGATGGAAAAATATTAAGCCAATAACACAAATATCAATAGCAATGGATTTGATAAATTATGTGATGTGGTTGGTGTCACATCATCAAGTCAACTCAAGTCAAGTCGAGTCACATTTATTTATATAGCGCTTTTTACAATACAGATTGTTTCAAAGCGGTTTTACAGAGATAACAGGAAAATAATGCAAAAAAAGTTTGTTTCCAGAAGAAAATAGCGTCACAGTCCAGCTTAACCCTCTGGGGTCTAAGGTGTTTTTGGGGTCCTTGAGATGTTTTGACATGCCCTGACATTTGTGCTTTTTTCAGTTGCTTATAAACATATTAATGGCACAGGTGTAATTGCACTCTATTTAGCACAAACAGGGCTACCATAATATGTGAGCAACATGTATGTACATATTTGTATTTTTGAGAGAATATTGTTTATGCATGGTTATTGAAAAAACTAAAAATTAAAGTTTCTGAAATAAGGCCACAAAACACATATTGATTATTTCTTCACAAGACTTTTGAAAATTGTATCACATAGCCTAGAATATTTGCTCCAAAACTATGTGAGAATCATCCTGACTACTCATTCAGATAAGTCAATAAAGTATTTTACATTTTTAATGACGTGTTTTGTGTCAGAAAGCTTTATGCGAAGGGGCATGATCTCTCATTAATATGTATGCATTTCACACCTGAGAAAGACAAAGACCCTCCCATAATGGCCCTATTAGGTGCTATCAGGCCCTATCATTATGAGGAGCCTTGCACAAAGAATGAGGAGATTTAAAAAAGAATGGCTTTTAGATTGTTTGGATTTATTTACAACACAACATAATCCAAAGATACACAACAAAGGACAAAAAAGCACATTAGTAAACACACTGATCTAAAGACAGAGGCTTGCACAGTCACACAGCATTGTCCCATTCCTGAAACATAGTAGCTACATACCTGTCATTTCCAAGGTGTTTGATTTTTCATTTTACCATGTTCATGTACAGAGACTGTTGAATGTTGAAGTCAGCAGGACTCATCAGTGGCATCTCGTCCCTGTAAAAAAAAATAAAAATAAAAATAAACACCTTTGAACATGCTGATATCGAGAGAAACTATATGGCTGCACGACTTTGGGCATGCATTGTAGATTTTTCTAGTTAAAATTGCGATTTAATTATATATATATATATATATATATATATATATATATATATATATATATACACACACACACAGTGCTTAGAGAATAAGTGAACACACCCATGCTAAAGTTGACTACCCTTCACAATATAGACATGGTTTTATTTCAGTTAGCCTAACTGAACATTTATACATAAATAATATATTGTATTTAGACAGTATCACATATTTTACCGGAGGCTGAAATGTATTTCACTAAATCATTATATAACCTAAGCAGTTATTCGCAAACAAAATAAATCACGCATAAGGCAGTATTTTAGCATGATAATCAGTGTCATAAACTAATCTCAAAACTGAGTGAAATATATGTAGGCAAACTAGGCAAAATATAGTCTGAAAATTCATTTGAGCTCTATAATCAGAAAAGGAATTATATAACACTAAACAACTTACTCCGAACTTGTATCCTCGAGCGGGGTCAATTCGTTCTTCAAAATGCAGCCGTTGGTCGTCCGAGTTTCAAATTCCTCTGAGGAAAAGGTGAATCCTTCCCCGCTGTCCAGAATCATCTGAAGGAGTAGAGTGCCATTCTCAAAACGCGATGAACTATCAGTGAATCTGATGGAGAAACTTCGTGTTTTTATGCCATTGATCGCTGGGCGTGTGCAATGCATAACGTTAGATCACCAATTTACCATGTGAAAAGCTCTGGGGGCGTGGCGGCCTCAGCTAATTAAAGATAATGAACTGAGAACGAAAAAACTGTACCTCTCCTTGGTTTCAAACGGATTACATAAACTGGAAATATTTCTTTTTTTAATAAATTACTTCATTTAAAAGAAGAGAATACAAGCTTTAAAAAGACACATGTCTCGTATCTCTGTGACAAGTATTGACTTAGTTTCAGAATGCACCTCACTGACAGAGAGAACGCAGAACGCGCATCATGTTTATTTTTCTTTATTTGGCGAAAAGCACAACACTTTGTTTTTATTGTGAGGTTCCACAAAAAAAATACAAACTTAACAGGATCGAATGATGTATAACACTTATATGTAAGATCAAAATCAACAGAGTAATTTGAGTCTCTTTTGCACTGATAAGGAAAAAAGTGAGCTGGTATCGCCGGCGATACCGCCGACCCCAGAGAGTTAAGTAAGTTCAGTGATGTTTCATTTTTAATAAAATAACATTTTATAAATAACGCCGTTACTAACGGCATTACTTTTTCCAGTAACGAGTAATCTAATTGATTACTCTTCTCATCTTAATAACGCCGTTAACCCTCTGGGGTCCAAGGTGTTTTTGGGGTCCTTGAGATGTTTTGACATACTCTGACATTTGTGCTTTTTTCAGTTGCTTATAAACATATTACTGGCAAAGGTGTAATTACACTCTATTTAGCACAAACAGGGCTACCATAATGTGTTATCAACATGTATGTACATTTTTGTATTTTTGAGAGAATATTGTTTATGCATGGTTATTGAAAAAACTAAAACTTTAAGTTTCTGAAATAAGGCCACAAAACACATACTAAATATGTGTCCACAAGACTTTTGACTAATGGTCAAAAGTTGTCGCCTAGAGTTTTTTCTTCAAAATGATCTGAAAATCATCCTGCCTTATCATTCACATAAAACAATAGATTGGTTTAAATTTAAAAATGACACTTTTTGTTTGGAAAGGCAATATGCGCAGGGGTGTGACCTGCTGTGATTCACACCTGAGAAGACAATGGGCCCGCATAATGAGTAATAAAAAGGTTACAATTACAACAACAATTAAAATTTTAACTATATTTCAAATGTAATCTTTGTTTGTATATACTAAAGTATACATTTTATCATACATATTTCACAGTTGCGGATTAATTAGTTTGAAGATAGCCTACAATCGAACAAACACTAAAATAAAACAATAGATTGGTTT